CGACCTGATTATCTGCAACGAATGAGATTCTCTAGCCCGTTTTGCCCATTGTTTTGTCTTGGTTGTTGCGGTTGGGTTTTGACATGTTTTGACCATTTTAGGATCAAGAAGAGATCGCTGACGGATTGCCCGGCCATCGAGCAGGGCTTGATTCCGAACCAATTGCAAGAGGCACAGGGAAGTTTCAAACCATTCATGGTTGCTTGATGTTGCTTGCTATTGGCTGAGAAAGCATAAACCATAGATAACCATAGCCTAAAATCAGTCGGGGTTTTGGACTTCCTAATAATTATACATCTCTATAGTGTTTATGTTTTTTTTGTTAAACCAGCATTTGATGATGATGCCATCTTTAACTAGTGTTTGATTCTTGGGTTGATTCATCTGAACCCATTGTCGAGACACCTGTTCGAGCATTGCCAGCCATCTCAAATAGCCAATTGAACAGTGGTTGCAAGACTCCTGGTAATTAAGAAGATGGTTTTTCAACATTATCAAAAATTGTAATCTAGTTGATCTATAATCATGTTTCCTTGATAATAGTTAGTTTTGATTACAATTATCATGGAAATCATGTCTTGATTATAGTTGATCTATAATCATATAAGATTGATCTATTATCTATAATTATCCATAGTTATCTATATTATAGATACTATAGATAATAGATATAACAATTACAGATAAATCTATACCTATTGGTCCCCTGCGATCTATAGTTGGTTCAAATTGGGGTTACCATCGCAGGGGATTCTCTCCGGGGTATCCAGGACTATCAGCAGCATGCGCTGGAGATCGCTGAGACCCAGGCGATGGGGTCATTTTCATGTACCGAATTTACCGCTACCTGGGATGTTTGGAACAACCCTGCCGAATATACATAGATATAATATATATATACATATATATATATATACATATTTGTATATATGTATATTATATATATACATGTATATATATATTATATATATATGTGTATATTATAGATTATATTTTATACTATATATTAAAATATTATATATTATATATTAAATATTCTATATTATATATTATTTTTGATTTTTATTTACTATGTTTTAAATATTATATATTCTATTTTACATATTATTTTTATATATCATATATTATATACTCTATTTTACATATTATGTTTATATATTATATACTATATATCATATATTTTATATTATATATTATATTTATTATATATTTTTATTTATTATATATTATGTATACATTATATTATATATATATATTTATTTATTATATATATTATCAATATAATATCATATATATATATATGTTTTCTATTTTATATATTTTATATTTTATGTTATATTATATGTATTAAATATTATATATACTATTTATATATAGTGTGATATTGATTTTGTTAAATATATATATATTATATATATATATATTGCATATTATTTTTTATCTATTAAATATTTTATATTATTAATATAATATTATTTATATTATATTCTATTTCAAATTATATATTTTATATTTTATATTTTGTATTATATATATATTATTTTTTTCATCACATATATATATATACATACATACATAGATGTTGCTTGAATTTCAGCAGCGACGATATTGAATTGGTTTTGGTAGCCATTCAATCCATGCAATCCGCTAGATCCTATCTATTTGTCATGTTCGGCTACCAGGACCACCGGCTGTCCTTCATGAAACAAGTGATGTTGAAGTACAAGAAGCAGCCTCTCCGCATTTCATGGATTGCGACATATCTGGGCATATGCTGAGCACTTTTTTGTGGATGCGTGCTTTATACACATGGAGGAAATATGTTATCATCCCCAGATGGAAAAGTAAATCACCATCAAATTAGTCTCTTAAGGCATGATATAATGATAGTTGTTCCTCTGGTGTTTGTTGGGATCAGTGGTTCAACCACGGCCAGCACCGCTGTGCCGTTTTGGGGGGTCAACACGAGATGAGGCGTTAAAAATCAAAGATGTCATGCTGTTTTGAAGTGCATGATTCTATAGTTCTCATCCAATTCATCCAATTTGTGATTGATTCCGAAAGATTCCTTTATATTACCTATAGTTTTTTCCAATTACTGTATAGTGATTTAGAGTGACTGAGTGTTCTTGTCTTACGCTCTTGTATGGCAAAAAATTGAAGCTCCTCCCACAACTTCTGCGTCTAGTCGTGTACACTCTCAGCCCCTCAAACCCTCCGGCAAGAGACCGCACGTGTTCGATGGCTTTGAAACAGTACTGTACCTGGAACGTTTGTGACCATGTCCCCTAATAGTTTCCCCCTTGTTACATAAATACTTCCCACAAAGCTGGGCTTACTATAGTTTGCGAATTCCTTTAGGGGCCTATCTTGAGGGTGAATTTCATAGTACGCGTAAGGGATTCCATTCCACCTACGATTATTGTTTGATACATTGAGTTTGACCTTGTGCAACCCAATATCCATGTTTAATATCCTATCCTGTAGTATGATGTTTGTGTTGTGTCTAACTTCTCTACCCAATATGCATTCTGGATACCCCAGCACTTCCTCGGTGTACCGATTTGTTGAGGTACCGAGAGCAATGCGATGCCTTCGATGCCTCTGAGGACGCCTGAGCCATGCGGGCCATTGACATGTCAGTTGTGGTTATAATGTGTCTTAATGCTATCCATCATATGTCAGTTGTTACCAACATGATTGAATAAATATGCTGCCAATATGCTACATGCTGACAAAACCTCCTCCTGTGGCGTAGCTCTTTTTCTATTTCGGTTTCACCTCCGCCAGATCTGTCAGATAAGAAATTGGTGCTTAATCAGGGACTGAGGTTTTGAACAACCAACATGTATCAAAAGGTGGTTTCACAATATCTGGTTGCAACCCGTGGAAACCACATCCGTTACATCTGTTGCATCTATGTGTGCTTTCCATCGGGGCAAGCCATAGTTTGTTGAGTTGAACAGGGTAAGATCCTCCGCTGAGGGTAAACGCTTGGATGTGGATATATATATATATATAGTACCTGGATTATAGTGGGGGCTTGATGGGATTTAACAATGGTTTAATGGGATTTAACCATGAAAAATGGTGGTTTAATGGGAGATAATGGGGATTAACCATGATAAACATGTGGTGTAATGGGATTTAACCAACACACATGATGATTTTAATGGGATTTTTTTCCATCATGTGGGTAAAACAATGCCATAAACCACCCATGACAAGGAATATGAGAAGATTATACCACTTTTTAAACATGGTGATGACCGGGGGATGGTAAACATTGCATTGTTTTAGCCACATTATTACCATATGACTGGGGGAATCAACACGAATCAACATCCATTCACCAGCTATGACTTAGGTACCTATATAGGGTCCCAGGGTTTTGACTCATAGCGGAAAACCCAAGGGATTTTCGAGGAACATGACCTAGCAATGGTAAGTGTTCCACATCTACGATGGTTTACCAACGAACAATCATGACTTCAGGGACCTAATTAGGAGTCAGTAAGTCGGAACCAGACGCTTCACCAGCTCCAAGTGAGCCGTTGTTTCAAGACCTAACGTGATTGGTTAAAGGAATTATACCTGCGAACTACTGTGCTGTATTGACTTTATTGCTGGTTGCCTTTAAGCCACACCGGGGATCCCCTTCTACTTGGTGGTCGGTTTTTAGATAGAATACATGTAAATACTTATAGCACTTGACCTACTTACACAAACTTACAAGTTAACTTAGGAAACTTAACTTTTTAATTGTAGCTCTAAGTAACATAAGTTAAATATAAGTAACTTGCAAGTTTTTTAAGTTATTTTAAGTTATTTTGAACATGAAAAGAGAGGTATTTTAGCAGTTTGTTTCTTCATCATTGCGTTTTGCATTTTTATTTTTTGTGTTGTAGAAACCTTTGTTTCGTAAGTTTTCTTCGAATTTCTTTGCTGCACTTGAAAATTTGATGATGTTTTTAAACGTTGGGTTGGACAATCTTAATTTGGAAAAAAATAAAAATGAGAGAGTTGCTGCCCAAAGGACCGCAGGATAGAACATCCACGGATGACCAAAGGCGTGCGACGTGTCATTCTAATTCGGTTTGGTTTCATATCATATGATGTCATTGTACGAAAGCATGAACCAAAAAGACCACAATATACCTGAATGTGTATGGATGTGTATGGATGTGTAAGGATGTGTAAGAATGTGTAAGTCAAAAAAAATCCACTTACACATGTGTAAACCAAAAAAAATCCACTTACACATGTGTAAACCCCAAAAAAATCCACTTACACATGTGTAAACCCAAAAAAAATCCACTTACACATGTGTAAAAATGTGTAAACATGTGTAAAAATGTGTAAAAAATGTGTAAAAATGTGTTTTGCATTTTCTGTTTTTTGCAAAATATGATATGCCTTTGCTGTCATATACGCATTTTCTCTCAGGCCTCAGTCAAGATCAAAACAGGGGCTGTGGCCTCATGATCTTTCCAAGGGCCCGAACGCTTTTTACTTCGTATCCATCCTGTTGTCCAAACGAGAAGAGGACAAGATATCAACAAAAAAACTCAGAATCACAAAACTTTTCCCGATAGGCTTCTCATAGAGCCGCCTTCCGACAAAAATATCAAAAAATAAAAACATGTGGTTTTAATTCGTTTCCAACCCAAACCTTGTTTTTTATATGTTTTTATTCCAACACAAAAAATAATAGCTTTAAAAATCCAAAAAAGTTAAGTTTCCTAAGTTACTTATAAGTTATTTAAGTTGTTTTTTGTTAACTCAAAACAAAATAACTTAAAAAAAACTTACCATCTAGTTTATCTTTGGTAACTACTTACAACTACCGTAAAATAAGATACAAACTTAGTTTACTTAGCTTAGATACACTAGGGTTGTAACTACCTTACAACTAGGTTACAAGTTACTTGCAAGTGCTGTAAACCAAAACCGACCACCAAGTAACGGCGATTTTTCGACGTCCGTAGTTTGTCTCCGAGGTGGTGACATGCTCAAAGTGACCTGGACGCCTGGCCCTAGTGCTGGCCATTGCGTCTTCCAGAGCTGGGAGCTTCAATGGAGGCGATGGAAGTGGGACAGCCTCCGGTGTCATCCGGTGGCGATAATTCCGATGTAGAGGTTTGAATGGAAGAACCATCTATAAATCGGCCCATTCTCCATGGCCACGTTTGATTACCAGATGGTAATTATTTTGTTTTTCTTGGGGGAGGGGCAATGTTTGTTGGAGCATGTACTGATCTGCTCAATCTCAGCCAGAAATTTTCTCGATCAGCCAGGGGAACCTCACGATTTTCAGGTGGGTCACCAGTGTGTGTGCAAACCATATACCCTCTGGTTATTTGTTACAGTTCGCCATGGTATAGATGGCCCATAGAAATAGATGGTTTACCGAACTTAACCATGGTGATTTTCCATGGCTATGTTAAATAACCAGATGGTATATATATTTTTTGCTTGGAATTAGTCGCCAGTCATTTAGCCGGGATGAGTGAGTAGCGAACTGACTGTTGTTTTTTTGGCGTAGGGCCAAAGCAGCATGGAATAGCCAGATAACCAGCAATGATTCGTCTCCCATCCACACTCTTCAGTCATGGAGTTTTTCACAGCTGATTGATGCACCACAGCTCATTGATGCCGATGCTGAAAAATTGATCTCAATTGATCTGAATTCCCAGTGTTTGTCCATCAGACCCGAGAAGCACCGATTTGTTTTATCTAATATGTTCAACCATGAGTTTCCCAGATGCCAAGATGTTTAATTTTTTTAAAGCCATATGTTCATATTAGTTTGTTTCCCCAATGTGTTGTCCCAGTCGTCTCATTTTCGAGTATATATCTGGTTGGTGGTTTCAAACATTTGTTATTTTCCATAATATATGGGAATAATCCTTCCCAACTGACTTTCATATTTTTCAAGGTGGTTAAAACTACCAACCAGATATATTATTCATCAGATCAGATCAGGTAATCATCACTAATAACCACTATTAACCACTATTAATCACTATTATAAGCACATTAATAAACCAGATATATATTCTGGCTGTGTCATGGTTTGCACAAAATCGGGCCCCCTAAATTTGATTGGGATTATCACCATGATCCCCAATGAAAGGCGCAGAGCTCCTGTGGCGCATATCATAGCCATGGCCATGTCCACAATAGATTGACTAAGTCCACGTGTGTATTTATATTTGTTTTACTGCACATAATATATATATATATATATAATTTATATATATATATATATTCAATATATATATATATTTATTTATAATATGATACGCTTATATATATATATATATACATATCGTCTATTTTGGTAATGTTACTATAATTTAATATATCGTCTATTTTGGTATTATTACTATAATTTAATATATGTATATATAATATATATATATATACATATTCCACAACATCAACACAAATCCCCTATGATTGCACTCTTGTTTCAGGTGGTGGTCGCTCGAATCTGATTGGACCTCGAAGACCTGCGGACGCTCGGGCGTTGTTTTGTCTTTTTCTGGTGATTTGGAATGATTAAAACAAGATGAATGTTGGTTAATAGTGGTTAATATATGGTTAATGTATGGTCATCTGGTAGATATCTTTTGGCAGAAAACCAGTCTGATTGTGATACATACCAACTGGTCAGTGGCAGATATCTTTTGGGTTCATTGCAATGACAAGGGAGTTGTGTCCCAGTTAACAGCAATTGGCCAAACCTAAGTTTCAGGATGCATACTTGAGGTGGAGTTGGGGCTATTAATAGATATAATAACTGTTTAACCATGGCAATAACCCCCCAAAGTTGGGATAAAACCTTTATCAACATCGTTATATTTCCACTTATAAATAGCTAGAACTGCAGCCCCAAGTACATGAGATTTCACGATAGAACCCAAAGAGAAGGCTTTGGAAGGTGAGTTCTTCTTTGTCTCACTGGAACACCTCACTAGACTTATGATGGTCAAGAAGCGAAAACAAAATAGAAAGGCTTGATTCTGATTGAAATGATAATATTCCAAATGATGAAAACCGAATGACGATATCTATTCCAAATGGTTTCTTTCTGTTTTGGGAATATGATTTGCCCAACCTCTCATCCGAACAAGGCAAAGTAGGTTTGAACATACTTTCTCTTCACCATGGGCTCCTTCCAGTGAGCACCACGTAAACACCCATCAAAGCAGTTCGCACAACCATGATCATCCAACCATAATGATATTGTGGTTCCTCACCTTTGCTGGCGAATGAATTACAGTTATTGGTGCTGAATATCCCACTATTTGGTAGTTTTGAGCTCCCACTTTGTTGCTGAATCTCCTCATTACATCCGCAGCTCAATCCCCATCTTTGTGAATACTCCCATGTTTTGTTGGTGAAAATCATGATCTTTGGTCACTATATACCCTTTGGTAGTGTACCATCTGGTTATTTAACATAGCCATGGAAAATCACCATGGTTAAGTTCGGTAAACCATCTATTTCTATGGGCCATCTATACCATGGCGAACTGTAACAAAGAACCAGAGGGTAACAGTGTACATTGGAAAGTTCGGACTTTTCCTGGGTAAATCATCGAACCAACTGGGCCATCTGTCAACCATAGCTATATTTTTGTTTTTTTGGGCGAATGTAGCGTGACCGGCGTGACCGGCGTGACCGTGACCGCCGGAGTCTTCACCGCATCGAAGGCTTCCTTCGGAGCTCCCCTGAGTGCATGCTGGACCGTCCCTCGGAGACGCTCGAGCTGCGCGTGCGCGAGAGATGTCAGGATCGATCCGGGATGCGCTTGTCGTGCGCAAGATGATAAAAGACATGATTGGATCGGTTACGTGTGCATTCCAGTTTCTAACCGATTAACATTCCATAGATATATAAAATACAACATATCAGAACCTACATGTTGTATCATGTTATATTTTATCGTCTACAAGCCTAGTCCATCAGCGCAGGACTCGAATGCAGACAGTGCCTTTCTTCTGTCGGCTCCCTTTAAGTGGAGCTCAGAGGAAGACTGGCAGGTTGGCTACGGGGAACGTTGCCAACAAAGGTGATTTGAGAGCTTTGACTGGGACAAAAGTGGTTTTAAGCTACCAAAACAGGGAAAACAGATGGATTTGACCGGGACAAATTATGGAGTTCAGCAACAAACATGGGGAAATTTAACAAAAAAATATCTAACACCGAGATTTTAAGGCAATAAAACATGTGGATTGGAAGCAGCCACAAATCATGGGGATGCAAACGCCCACAACGAAATATCACCTTATCTGCCCAAATGACCTCAATCATTACCGGTATTCTATTTTTTTTGGCCAAACAGTATGGCCACACTGAGGGGTTCTTACGGTAACAGTTAAGGCCCGGTGTTCAATGGAGGTGGTATCCGGAGCGTTTGGCACGTTCCCTGTAAATGTCCGCAGAAAATGCCAGTGGTGACATGTCCATGTGCATTTCAACTGCGCAGGCTCGCACATCATCATCATCATCACCATCATCGTTCTTTTTTCTCCACCATCACCACCACCAGCATCATCATCACCATTATCATTTTCACCATTATCATTTTCACCATTATCAGTTTCACCATCATCTTTGTAATAATAATAATCATCATCATCATCACCATCATCATCATCATCACCATCACCATCACCATCACCATCTCCACCATCATCATCATCCATCATCATCATCAACAACAACAACATTACCATCATCATCGGCATCACCATCATCAACAGCACCATCATCATCAACATTAAAATACATTCTCCCTATACTCCTCCCACACTATTTGGGGTCTCTCGCCGGGATAGTTCATGATTTGCACATTTCGCAATTGTGAGATTAGCTACGTGTTCTTTACGACATTGTTTTCCCAGATGTTTTAGAGTTAGTTGCAGGCCGCAGGGAAAATCTCCCAGGTTTACGGTTTACCCCCAAAACATGGGCGAGCAAATCCATGGTTTGCTGCAAATATCCTCAGCAACCCCATCTTTTGATAGAATGAAATATAGCTGGCTATATGATATATATATATATATATATGTACATATATATGGCCCAGTGTCTGGTGGCCCCCCTCCCTCCCCCCGAGATGGTGATAGCCTTTTATATGTATATAAGTTGTATATACATATATATATACACATGTTTTTTCTATTCTACTACGTATATATATATATATATACATTTACATGCACACATCACGTTCCTCGTTTTTGGCATGTTTGCATGGTCAATTTCTGGGGTACCTCCGCTCTGTGCCAGGTCTATGTTGGAAGTTCCTCGTTCTCCTCTTTGGCTGTCGATGTGCTCACGTTGCCGATGGACATGACCACCAGCACAGGTGAGCAGACGGCGATTGTGCCAGGCAGCCAGGCATATAGATCCCATGGAACTGGGGATATCACTGGAGTTTTATGCGGGAAACCCAAAAGGTATTCTGGGATATGTGACTTGGTTGACTAAGTCCATCTATACATTTTTCTACATAAATTATCACAAATTCCCCATAATGTGGGAAGTGCAATGCCATAAGCCAACCATTTGGGGATGGTTTCAATCCCACCCATAACAATGGTAATTTTGGGCAAGGTTGATGGCATTGAATTTACCACATTAGTATGGTTATCAAACACTGTCATTAGGGGAGATACCCTCGAAATGATGATAAATCTCAATGACAATTTTGATCAAAACGAACAAAAAACATATGGGGCAAACCCACAGGCTCAAAGTAAATCAGGAGAGTGAAGTTTCAGTTGTTTTTCCTGAATGGTGATTGATTGAAGATTGGATTATGTAAGCGTATGGACGTGTTTCGGATCTTCAAGGAATTTGAAAACCATGGGCAACCTCGCTACGTCCGCTGATGCCGACGCTGCCAGAAACTTCAAAAAGGTGTGTCAAACAAAAGTGTGGTGATTGATTGAGGGCAAACTAACCCCTAGATTATGAATGGTTCAGCAGGGGTGCAGTTTGCACATCGGATGGTGGAAAGTTTCCCATGTTTCCCTTGGATTGTGAACGAAGTTCTGCAGTTGATGTATATTTAATATTATAATTATATATATATGTGTATATAATATTATAATGGGTACAAACGTGGTGATCATCTCCATAAGTTGGAAAAATCGGGTCCACAGGCTTAAAAATAACCCATATCTTCTCATTATTTGATGGCCATCTGTTGGGAAGTACTCCCCCATAGCCCGATTGGTTGATTGGTTGATTGTTCGGGGCTGATACTCTCGTTTACCCGGCCTGGTAAACATACAAAATGCCATGGTTAAAATCACCATCTTTGATAGGTAAATGGTAAATCATTTCTGTGTGTGGCCATTTTCAATAGCTATGTTAAATTACAAGAGGGTAAATCATCTATGATCATAATCCGTACAGTTGTGGCCATTTACCAAGTATAACTGGTTATAAATGGGATTGTACATTTTATAAATGGGGTTATAAGTACTTATAACTGATAAATGGCCATAACTGTACAAGACAAATCTTGGAGGCACTGCGACCTTTTCGTTGTGCTTCGGGACGTCTCAAATGGTCACAGTGACCCGCACGGATGCCGCCCGGCGGAGATCCATTGCTCGCCTGCTGTTGGTTTCCATGTTCTTGGGATGAGGCTGTAACAACTGTAACAACTGTAACAACTGTAACAACTGTAACACATATAGAATCTTGTATAGTTGTATTATGTTGTATTTATATAATGCGGGTTCTGAACATGTGTGCTTGTAAATGCGATTGAAATTTCACTATGAAGGGCTGACAATATAAGATGTGTGGAGACTTGCGGACGACGACCCCCCTTTTTGGATGATATTCACTACATGACACAGTTTTTTTGACTGAGGCTTCCCCTTCGATATTCTGAGTTCATGTTCTGGTCCCTCGTTTGGGGTGGTATTGAATATCATGGGCATGGATTCATTACTATTTCCAGTGTGTCAACCTCCACATCGTCTTGGAAATAGTTGGGGTTCTGAGTGGACGAAGCTGGCAGTTGATACTCTTCGGATGCACATCAAACAGCTGCTACAGGATCAGCTGGCATAGTTTGAATGCAAACGGTCTAAAACATACCCTGAACAAGTGCCTAAATTGCAAACAAACAAATACTTCCCAAGGCTCAAAGTCATGTACATTGTTCATAGTTGACAGCACATCTATATTTATATATAATATATGCAACATGTATATTAATTGAATGTATGATCTCAATCTTATCACATGTTTAACTTATATATATATATATATATCGTGGTTATTAATTACTAACTGAGATGCACCCCTAAGTAGAGATTCCGGTTCTGAGACCGGTCATACCAACGGTCATCCTGAGGCGTTGAATGGATGGTCTGAAGAATTATGGCTTCATTGCAGCCTTCGTTGCTCGGAAAATGTTTGAAACCAAAACATATGTGCATTGATATGTAGGTTAAAATGATTTAAAATGTTGGATATGTAGATTAACATGAATTATAATGTTTGACATGTAGATTAAAATAATTAAAATGTTTGATATGTAGATTCACATGAATGAACCTGTTTGATATGTACAGTATATTATATATTAAACTGAATTTAAAATGCGTGATATGTACTGTAGATTAACATGAATTAAACATGTTTGATATGTAGATTACACTGATTTAAATTTAAAATATTTGATATGTGGATTAACATGAATCAATATGTTTGATTTGTAGATTAAACTGATTTAACATATTTGACATGTAGATTAACATGAATTAAAATGTTTGATATGTATATTAAAATGATATACAATGTTTGATATGTAGATTAACATGAATTAATGATGATTGATATTCTCCAATGCACCCAAGCGTGGGATTTGGCAATTCCATAGATTGCAAGAAACTCCACAGATGAAAGAATCAAAATAATCAGAAAGGCCTCTATATATGGTTTAACCATGAACCAACAAGGGTTTTTGGGCCTTCATTCAGTCGTCATCCATCCATCTGGGAGCGGAATTGGATGAAGGATAACATTTCCATGAAACCATGAGATTTGTACTGGTTGGCTGTTTGGAACATTACTTTTATTTTTCCATATATTGGGAATGTCATCATCCCAACTAACGAACTCATATTTTTCAGAGGGGTAGGTCCGGGTAGGTATACCACCAACCAGATACGGAATATCCGTGGTTTTCTTGTATTTCCTGTTCAACAGATCTTACTTCGGGGGTGCAGGCTAGGGATTCTTCATGGATATATAGCTATGTATACTATGGGATTCTAACCCCATGTTTGTTGGGAGATGTAGCCCCTACTGTATCATGGTGAAATCGATCGACTTTGTTCGCTGGAACTGCGCTTGCAAGTAGCTAAGTTACTCTATACCTTATAGCTTAACTATGGTGAACTAGTTCAGGTTTTGGGGGTGGACTTATTTTTAATATGGTTTAATCATCATTAATCACCATTAATCATCCAAATGTTTTTCTTATGTTTCCTTTCAAAAGAATCCCAGTGAACACATCGACACCGACACTGCTGTCGATCCCAGGTTCCAGTGTTGCTCTGTGGTCTGCTCCCAGTGCACCCAACACCTTGACCCTGGCGCGGGGCCCGACCCTGACCGCCGGTAAATGCGATCTCTAAGTCTCTACCCTCTGGTAAACATTTACATAACTATGGAAAATAACCATTTTATAGCTGGGTAAATCATGGTAAATCAACTATTTCTATGGCAAATTTCAATAGCAAACTGTTAGTTTACCAGAGGGTAATCTGGAAGCAGTTTCTATCTTGTTTGTTGGGCCTTGTTGGTATCCCGGATCCCCTGTGGGTGTTGGCACTTCCATCTCCGTCGCTGAAATCCTCCTGGAGTCGGGGAGGTTTGTATCCAGAGGGTTTCTTAGTGGTACCGTATCATCACTTCCTTATTTGACCCATTGCTGGTGCAAAGTATAGAGAAGCTGCTTGGTTTCAACCATGGTTCATGTTCCATCGACAATTAATGTGGCTAAAACGGCTCAAACAATGCCAGGTTACCAGCCAGGACTGGGAATGGTTTATATCTATATATACCACTATACCACCTATAAATCTATGGTGATGACTGGGGGAGGGTAAACATGGCATTGTTTTACCCAACTGATCGCTGGGCATTTCCACCGTGGAGGTTTCCGACAAGTCATGGGGGTACCCCTAGTTCTCATCCATTTTAATAGGATTGACTGGGATTTTCCCTTATAAACCATCCATTTTTGGGGCACCCACATATTTATGGACCCCATATGTGGTTGATCATAGCTGGGTATTGGTCAATAAGGCCCACAGATATTCGTCGATTTGTAGTGTGAAACATCTAATGGATCGGGGTATCTAATGGATCGGGGATTTCCTAAAATGGAGGTACTCGAAAACTGTTGGTTTATAACGGAAAATCCTATTGAAAGGGATGATATGGTACCCATATTTTAGGAAATCCCCATTTTGACTCATACCCAACTGATGGAGTATATCACCACAAATTGTGAATTCACCAACGGGTCAACCCGTCGCAGTATTTCATCCCAATCAACCCAACTGGCCCAACTGATGGAGTATGGGATGATTGAGATTTTTCATGCCATTTGTTTAAACATGTTTATCCCATACTAAATCTATGGATAATGTTGGCATGTTCGAGGAACTGTGGGATTTCGCCTCCGACTTTAACAGCTCCAAGGGACGATAGCCGATAGCTGAGGCTCCTCGTATGGATGCCTTGAAGGGGGCCTCCTTAGATGCTTCCTTCGAGGCAGTCTGAGCCAAGACTCGGGAAATGCGACCCCCAAAAAGATGAAACATGGGCTATCACCCAAAAGGTCTATGTTTTCGGGATATGTATTGGAATGGAGTTAATACCCTCTGGTAATTTAACATAACTATGGAAAATCACCATTTGTATTGAATTGTCCAAGGAAAAATTGTGATTTACCACTCTATTTTACTGGGTTACTGGGAGACATGAAACGTTTTCTCTGGGATGACGTTTTTTGGGGTCTCCCAATTCGTTTGGCAAACTGCACTTGGAGGTGACATGTTACTGGTCAGGCTTCTATAGGTGATATTTCCCATTTTAGTATACCACGATTCTTAAGGGCTTTAACCGCTTTATACATCTTATTATCTTCCATATTACGTTACATGTGTCAATGACAATTCCACACTATAAGTTGTTTTTTCCAAATAGGATCCCAATAACATTTTCAGATCAATCCAACAATTCAGAAATGTATCGGATTTTACACTAATGTTGGATCCCAACAATCCAAATAGGATCCCAACAATCCAACAACATTCTCATTCTCAGATTGTATTCGGATCGTCCCAGTCCTATATTTGGATTTTACACTTCGGCCTCAATTTCTGACTGGCGCCGACCGCCAGGCAGTCTCGGACATGGGAAGTGGCCGTATCCCCAGCGGAGACATCAAATTGCCGACTTGCTGGCGCAATCCTACAGTAGATGGAATTATTACTATATGTAGAATCTATAATTCCTACTATAGATGGAATAATTACAGTAACTATAATTAGATGGAATTATTGCCAATCGATGATCATCAACTATAATTACAGTAGATGGAACAATTCCTACTGTAGTAGATGCAATATCCTATGGTAATTGTATGTAATTGTCCTATATTCATCTATATCAACTGAGCATTGCGAGAAACCTTCTTGTTTATTTTAAGAAGGGTTGTGTCATATGAGTGGGTCGCGTAAGCAACTCCCTGGGTTTTGTCAGGTGGTCGGTGGTCTAAGCCATTTTTGCAAAATTCCATGCGTAAGCTCCCGCGTAAGCATTAGCATGCCCTCTGACCTAAGCAGTTCCTATATATGTAGCAGTCTAGCAATGCTATGCGACATAGGCTCGTAATCTCACGTTTTTGGCGAAGCTCAACTGTTTTTGTTTGAAACTGCTAACCTGTTAAGACTACCATGAAAAATCTGACGTTTGCATTGTTGCAACCTGCAGCTTGGGCTTGTTGGAAAGGAATGGTGCAGCTTCAAGCATTGGGTCCATGTGGAGGTTTCCTAAATTGAGAGGGTAGCCGGAAATCACCCAAGATTAATTAGTGAATTTTGGTGTTATTGGCACCTATGGACCTATGAGGATCCACCATTGGAATAAACCTTCATTTATGACAGCAATATATTCATGTGTGTTTAATGATTATTTGGGAAAAGTATTGGGTTAAACTCATTTTATATCAAACTGAGAAACAATGATATTTTCTTTGGCATTCAATCTGATGTTTGATCTGATATTTTTTGGTGCAGTGATATCCATATGTACCGGATACAAGTACCAACCCACAAGTCCCCGCTCCAGGTCCCAGAGCTGATTGGGAGAGAGTTATGGACCAAAGATACATATCTAGACAGGACTGTATGCCCCATATACCCGGTTGAATGGTCTGCAATAATATGGTTTTGGAGCTGTTCCAGCATTGTTTTGTTGACACAAACGCAAACATGTGTTCTGCTTGGTTCAACCAGCAACCAATCGCTTTGGTGTCTAAGAAACACCAAAAGGTTGCTTTAAAAATAGCAACATATAGTAACCCAAGACCTATCTTCAAGCCTTGTCGAGCCGCGCGACTCTATGCTGCCATGGGGAACATGGCGAAGGGTCTCCGACGCCTGGTTTGCGCATGCCTGGGGACATCCGCAACTGCAGGTGCGAGGCTGGTGCGTGTCCTTTAAGACATGCCTCACCACGCTGCTATGCATTTCAGAGATCTTGGGCGGAATTGTTGGAACGTCTTCTGGATTTTGACATGATGGTTGGATGGCTTGGGTGAACACAAACTTAATACAATAGTTACCCTCTGGTAAACTAACATAACTATGGGACATCACCATTTTCAATTGGTAAATCAACTATAAATGGCAATTTTCAATAGTTATGTTAAATTACCAGAGGGAACAATGTTCAACAGCCGAATAGATAATCATTGCCACATCACACCGGAGGAGGTCCCATGGATTTCCGTGATCGATTTACGGGTGTTGGACGCGTTGCGTTCTTGCTGGTTCCTCGGAGTTTCCAGTTGATGCAATGACATTCGCTGATACCATTTCCTCAGTAAAGTCGATGGTTATACCGGCCTGTGGATCCAACCGTGAGAGACCAACTTGGGCAAACAAACAGTTAAGGTATATCCAAGGAGACTTCTCTTGATATAGCAAATTATAGCGACCTTTTTGGACAATCTCACCATAATTCTATGGTTGGCATTTGGCATTCATTATGTTTTGATATTCCCCTGCCTCTGAAAATTGGCTCCGCGGGGCACTCAGGATTGACGTGGAGCATCGCCTCTGGATCGCGATTTGCCAATCGATTTGCGCCACATCGCTCTTCGTGCAACCTGCGCAGAAACCTTTCCTGCTGTGAAATCTGGCTGATGAGATTGAATATACCCTCTGGTAAACTAACATAACTATGGAAAATCGCCATGTTTAATGGGTAAATATTTGTAATTCAACTATTTCTATGGCCATGTTCAATAGCTATGTTAAATTACCAGAATTTATAAACCATGCCGGACAAAGAGGTCTTGTGAGCCATCCCAAGAGATAAACGTGTCTGGGGGGGATCTGCATGGGTTTTACACGTCTGTCCTTGGGAGGTAGGACTATGGTTTACAGTTCTTTGTTGATACAGCTAGATCGATTTACCATACCGTGGCGCCGTGGGATGCTTTTGGTTGGCTTCGTGGGATCCTTCTTTCCAGCCCGATGATATGTTGGAATGCTGCGATGATTTGAAAGATGTGGAATTCTGATGTCAAGGCAATTCCTTATCATTGTGGAACTAGGTGACATCTGTCACGAAGAGCTACGTTAGCTGCTACGTATCATCATGCATGTCAAGGTACAGGGCATGCACTATCCACAGGTCATGTGACTGGCACTTAGAATGATAAAGGACTAAAGGTGTGTGTGCTACGTGCTATCTGTACGAAGGATTTCCACTAAGTTTGGAAATGAATGCGAAGTTTACAATATTTATCATGGTTCATGTAGTTTGTTATGCTATGGTCTGCTATGGTAATTAATAATCATTCCTACCAGTGTATTTAGACGGTTCATGCTTTTGAACAAAATGATCTTCGTAGATCGTGGTGTTTGCCGGGAAACCGAAGGGAAACCGAAGCCACGAAGCCGCGAAGCACAAGCTATTTCCATGTGGCCGAACTTTTCGGGTTGGTGAATTGGTGGTTCATAATCATTTGTCCATAGATATTATATATACATATATATATATACATATCATATATATATATAATATAATAATTTAATACTAACAATAATAATATATATATAACATATACATTTGATATCATCAATCACTTTTTAGCAGCACATGTTTCCCATGATGAGAACGCAAAAACACTGTAGGCAGTGGTGGTTGGCCAGCCCCACCATGACGCTCGGTCTGTCAATGTGGTCAGGACGGGACATGTTTTCCCAACTCAAGAGGAGAGAATTTCTGGAACTTGTATGATCATAAATGTATAATACACCAATGTATATTACTGTAATTATGCTCATATATATATATAATTACATACGAAGACGTTGGGACAATTGATTTTTATCATTATCTTTGTATACACTTGGGAACTTCACAAAGCAAAGTGGGATGTAGACCAAACAACAATATGACGCGTTGCGAATCGCAGATTCTACTAGTCACTCTGTTAGTATTTCCGACCCAAGTATGGGTTAACCAATTCTGATATATTCTGACTCATTTCCCAGATATCTCCAGAAGAAGTGGTCGACTTGGTTCATCTGCTGGCGCAACCGCAAATCCTCTACACAAAGGGTTGAAGATTCCCATGAGCTATGCATGACCATGGACGACAAGGATTGCAAATTGTGATCTTTTGCAAAAGCCAGAGGTTGAGGTTCCAGAAAAAACTGAGTGTATATGCAAGTTTTTGGGTGGTATTCTTTCGGTGTGCCATGTCCTGAAAAAACATGCGGCAACGAGATATGTTTCTTCAGCGATGAAATCAGAGACTTACTTAAATGTAGACAGACATGGTCTTAAACGATACAAGGTTATACTTGTCTTAAACTGTAGAAGGTTACAGACTATACACTTCTCCTCGGAACTATACAAGGTTATACAATGTTATGCACTTCTCAGAATCAGGACATGTCGTGTCTTGTTTTTGTGTTTTTGGCATGTCACTCCATGGTGTTTCCCTCTGGAGTTCATGCCCTGAGGTTTTTGTGGCGCTCGGGCGCGAACTTTGCGAAAGCCTTTATCTTTTTGCATCTGAGCATCTGCGGACGTGTGTCCATCTTTGATCCCGAAGCTTGGAAAGCTGAACAAAGAGGTTAATTACTGTTCAACAGGATGTGAGAGAGTGGATGATATACCTTCTGGTTATTTAACATAGCCATGGAAAATAGCCCATAGAAATAGTTGGTTTACCATGGTTTACCTATGTAAAATGGTGATGTTCCATGGCAAACTGTTAGTCATAACCAGATGGTAAGCAGTTTTTCATGGTTTGGATAGTCCCCAAGAGAAGTTTGGAGTCCCCCCCTGAAGGTCACTCGTGTGGAGTTACCATGTGGATAGCTAACCTGGTGAACAGAACTCGAAGAACTACCCTCTGGTAAACATACAAACAACTATGGAAAATCACACATGTTCATGGGAAAATTCACTATAAATGGTGATTTTCCATAGTTATGTTATGTTATGTTAAATTACCAGAGGGTATGGTTTTTGATAATAAAAAACTATAGTATTCATGGTGGTGATACACCAGCTTATAACTGTGGCCTACATTGTATGAATAGAAGCAACAAACATGAGGGATAACTATAGTTTATGATACTTCTAATTGTGGCAAATGCTTTTTACAAAAACCAACTCATTAAAAGGTTTAGCTGTTATGGCCATTTCTAATTTGACCCAAGCCTGCGCAACAAGCCTGCTTTTGGACTCCGCAAATCCACACTTGATCCACAATCCGAGATGGTTAAGTTGATGCAAAATCCCACATAATGGGAGTATTATACCCAGGAAGCCTGTGATTTCGCTGGCTGGCACGACGAGCGGCAAATTTTCCGAAACTTCGTTGTGAAGGGACAGGGCGGAGAAGCAACTTGAAGGAGCAACATGTTTGGGGATAAAGCTTTAGATTTGTTCATGTCCAGCATTCTCCATCGATTTGTTTGGCCAATATTAAGTGACTTCTCACCACAGCATGGATTATGTGCGGAAACCCAGAATTCTATATACAAACGTGTCAAGGTATTTTCCACCATTGCATGTATATCGTCTGGTAATTCATAGCTATGAACAATCCCCATGTTTCATCAGTGAATGAGCCATTGTGTTTGGGCCATTGTCCATAGCTTTGTTGCTCATGT